CGGCTGTGCCGGGCTCACAGCGGCTGTGCCGGGCGGCTGTGCCGGGCTCACAGCGGCTGTGCCGGGCTCACAGCGGCTGTGCCGGGCGGCTGTGCCGGGCTCACAGCGGCTGGTTGGTGAAGAAGGCCTTGGTCTCCCTGCAGACGGGGTTGACGCAGAGCGGGCAGCACAGGGTCAGCTGGCGGGAGCACACCTCGTTGGACTGCAGGTGGGAGCACACCAGGTCTGCCAGGGCCTGCGGGGCAGGGGGAGGGTCAGGGGGAGCCGGCCCGGACCCGCCGGAGCGCGGGCACCGCCCGGGCTGCCGAGCTGTGCACCCCCCTCCTAACAAAAACCCCACACGACGGGGCACAACTGGAACAGAGGTGGTGCCGTTTCCATTCAAACTGCAGGAAAACATCCACAGTCCAGCTGGAAGCACACAGCTGCAAACCTCTGCAGCCACAAAGCACCCACCTTGGAGAACAGCGGGTTTCCGTTGAGGGACTCTGCTCTCCTGATGTTCTCAACTCCGCACTGCAGCAAAAGGAAAAAGGAAAAAAAGTTAGATCAGCTAGGCCCTTCACAATCTTCCTGCTTCGCTCAGAAGTCGCCTCAAAAATGACAGAATAAAGTGCAGTACCATGTTTTTTTAGTGCAGTAAAAATAACCATGGTGCAACATTTCGCTTTGCTGCCAAAAAAGTCAATTACTCTTTTTTAGCAATAACAGCAATTGCTTAAAGAGTTAAATCTAGAAAGACAAATTCCCACCTGTTTTGTGGTTAAGCCAGTTCAGATTAATTTTCAATTTGCAAGAAAAATCAAGCTTGCCCTAGAATCATATTGCAAGAAGCAGCTACAAAGCAAATTGCAAGCCAGGAGAAGTAATTCCAGAGCAGCCCTGCCCAAACAGGTACAAAACCCACAAATCATTTACCTCATTTGCTAAAACCTGGGAATACTCGATATCCAGCTCATAGAGGGTTTCAATGTGGTCACTTGTAAAGGCTATTGGGACCAACAACATGTTCTTCTTTCCTCGTTGGCACAGTCCTTTAATGGTCTCGTCTGTCTGGGGACCAAGCCAAGGCATTGGTCCAACCTGGAACAAAAACAGGGAAATAAAGCAAAAAACCTCATTAAATCGTTCCTACAAACCACACTCACGTGTTCTTGGGCAGGACCACACAGACCAGATTCTGGATAGGACAGAAACAGTTATTGCTATTTCCTTGCTTTTGATTGTTCTGCTCACTTTCCCCATTAAATCCCAAAGGAACAGAACCTGGGCTGGCCTGAACAAGGCTGTGGTTAAAACAAATGAAGATGTAAATAAAGGTGTAGCGTTTGCAGTTCAGTAGAACCCTGCCCAGGCTTTACCTGCCTCAGCTTCCCCGAGCACATACCTTGGACTGCCACACGAGCCTGTAAGGGTTGGAGTAGTTGAGCTTCTCCATGACTCTCTGGACTGTGGCTCCCACTTCTTGGGGATACGGATCACCCCGGTTCACCACCTGCAACACAAACACAGCAGCCCTTTCTCTTCCAGTGAACACGCCGGCCTGGCACGGCCGTGTCCTCACACCCTTCCCCTCAGGGCTGAGCAGGGCAGGAGAGCCCCGGGTCACTCACAGACATGGGCAGCGAGTGGGCCGAGAAGAGGATCACCACGTCTTTCCGCTTGTCCGGAGGGAACAGGTTCAGCTCCTTCTGGATGTGATCAGCGAAGCACTGCTCAGAGGAACAGAGAGCAGAGACCTGAGCTGGGAGCACTGGGAGGCTCTACTGCTCCCAGTGACCCACGCAGGCAGAATTCCCAAAATCCCCTCAGCGTGCACCACGCTCAGGCGGCTCGTCCAGGGAATGCCACCCAGCCTTCTGAAGCCTGTTATTCCTCCCCAGTACTTTTTTCTAGATTTTAAAAGAAAACACATAAACCTCAAAGGCTTCAAAGGCACACCTGAATGAGAAGGGGGTGTGTGGGCCACCGGTCGATAATGCTCCACTTCATCTTCGGCTTCTCCCCCTTGTCATTATAGTAGCGATAAATGGCATTTAAACTGCTTCCTGAAACACAGAGAGCAGAGAACACCAGCTCAGCCAGGCCCTGGCAGACCGTAGCAGCTCGGCAGCAAGGCACGAAGACATTTTAAATTGCCACACAATTAAAATGCAACCGTGAACCGGAGCTGAGAGTCTCGAAGGGGAACGATTCTATCCAAGGTCACGCAACGTAACCGTTTTATCGATTCCTCTGAGTTCACAGCCACGGGTGTGCCTCTGCCCTGCCCCAGAGCTCACCTGTGGTGGAGCAGCTGTACTGGGGGTACTGGGTGAAGGCGACAGCCCTCTCGATGCCATCCTTCTCCATCTCCTCGATGGCCTCCTCGGTCAGCGGGTGCACGTAGCGGAACCCGATGTAGTACTTGTGAGGCGCTGCCAGCCCGGGCACAGGGACAGGAACGGCACAGAAGGGGTGAGAACTCACAGCAACACGTGGAAAATGTGCAAGAGCCACACAGACCGAAACAAATGGGTTGGTAATTTCCTGGCTCCTTGTCTAACCACTGCCACGCAAAGCCATCTTTCTCTGGCACCTCGCTTCGCCGTGATTAGCATTTAAAAGCGATTTATACCTGTGGTTTGCTTCTGCTGGAACATCACCCTCCTGCTTTTCCCCAGTTTAGCAGAGGTGTGGTTTCCAGCCTGGAATGTTTCACTGGGCAAGTCCTGATTTCAAGGATGTATTGGTAAAAAAAAGGGGCACTAAATGAACACTTGGATGTCCTCCCACAGGCTGCAGCTCCAGCTGCCTGCCCTGCCCCAGTGGCACCAAACCCCCAAGGACCAGGACCCCAAACAATGTTTGGGGCAGGAGAGCAGTGGCACTGAAACAGGGACACGTGTTCTTCCATTCTGCTCCTGGAAGAGGTTCACAGAAATCTTCCTGGCTTTAAACACTTAATTTTGGAGGCAACATTATGCTCTTCAAGGACACTGCAGGTTTTCCAGCTCTAATCTTTCGGGTGGCAGCTTTGGGAGCACGGCTTGGTTAGGGGGAGGGAGGGCAGGTTTGCTGTTTTGTTTTCTTAAGCAGAGGACAGAGGTTCTCGGGAGAACAAAAGCAAAGTTTCTTTTTCATGGTTTCTGGGTCACTGGCTCTGAAATAACATTTAACAGGGCTCTGAAGGAAGCAGATGTCCCGTGCTTGGGCTGCGCTCCGTACATTTATGCAGGATTCAGAAAACAGGTTTAGTCAGCCCCAGTTCTCTGCAGGAGGCAGGAGGGGTCCCAGCTGGGAGCAGCAGCAAATAATAACCCAACCTGGGGAGCCCTCGGAGCCAGTAACCTCATTAACATTTTGGAATGGCATTAAGGACGAGAGCCTGACTAACCACAGCAGGGACAGCGGCAGTTTAACCCGGGAAAGAACGTTCTGGGGAAAATCATGGCCAACCTGGAAGTAACACTCTGGCAGATCAAGGCAAAATGACCCTAAAAGTGTCCCTTTGCAGCACCCAGTTACTGATTAACGGGGCTCGGCGCTCCCAAAGCCCTCCCTGGGAGCACACAATATTCCCAGCTGGTCAGCCTGGAAGCACATCCAACTGCTGCAAGCTATTCTGAAGGAACACTGAAGGATGTGGTTGGCACTGCTCAGCACATTCCATTGTTCAAAAGGAGTCTCCAAAGGACTTATCAGGCCCTGAGAGGAGCACAGAGGTGGGTGTGGCTGCACGGAGAGTGCTCACCAAACAAAAGTGGGAGTGGGACACTGGGAGAAGCAGATAAACCTTCCCAGCCTTATCTGCAGAACCTGCTGCCAGCCTGGCCCTGCAGGGGCTCCTGCTCTAAGAACACTCCTGCCCTGGGTGCCACAGCAGGGCTCTGGCTGTGCCTGCAGGGACCACAGCTGGAGAGAAAGCTGGGGAGTCACATCTGTGGGAAAAGGGATTGAACAGCACCTGAATGAAGGCACCAGTGACACGTTACACACGAAACAGATGAAATGAACTTGGTTCCAGCCTTGCAAGAGTGTCACTTTTTACCTTCCAGACCCTTTTAGCAGTCTTCCAACTCCTGTTCTAACCTTTTCTGTCCAAGCCTGACACAGGGGCCACAAAGAGCTACAGAACAGCCTGGAATGAAATAACCTCTATTGTCAAACGTTGGGGGGATTCCCTGCCACACCAGCAGCACATCAGCAAAGGTCAGGGAAACTGGAAGGAGCAGAGGACTTGCAGCACCACACGTGGTAAAGCTGCTGAGCTGAAGAGAATGGAGAGCTCTCTCCCCTCTTTGGCTTCTCCTTCCTCCAGCAGTTCTCCTGCAGCAAATGTTTAGTGTTCCCACTTCACACACAAGTCACAGCTCCTTGCTGGGAGGGAGAGAAGTTCAGAGGGATTCTGTGATCCTGAGAGAGGGTTGTTTGCACCTTTCAAGTTTTCTCATGGTGAACGAAGGACTCGCAAGAGCATCTCCTTCCACCCCAGCCAAACTGCTTGGCCTTATCTCCTGCTGTGCCCCAGGTGGGGCTCTGCTATCGCTGAGCCAGGCCCTGCACTGCTCATCTACAGAGCCTTGTCTTTGCTTCCAAATGACCTCCTCTTCAGCCTTGAAACCCTGCTGCTGAGAACACCCTCCTGAACCCCTCCTCCCACAAAATACATTCTCCTTTCTCCCCACCTAAGGCTCAACCTGTCTTCAGTGCAGGCTTCCTCAAGCCCAAGCAGGGCCTGCAGGGCAAGGTATGACACCTGGCAGTGGTGCACACCAATGGAGACTCCTGGCACCTGGCTCTGGACACCTGAAAATAACACACCTTGCGTGTCACGGCCATCTTCCCATAACCAAAGGAGAGAGAGAGAAGTGACTCTGAGAGCCCACACCTCGGTAATGACTTCACAAGGAACTGAACCCCTTTCTCTCCAAGCCTCCTGCAGCACCCCTGCCCCGATTTCCCAGCAGGACTGAGACCCACACCGCGAGCCACACCCTTTGAACCCAGAGAGCCCAAGCCCAGCAGTACCAGTGTGAGGGGACATGCTGTCCAGCAGCTTCACCATGCCTTCCCCCTGCACCGCCGTCCACTTCTTGATGGGGGATCCCCCGCCGATCCTGCTGTACTGCTCCTGGATCTTCGGGGTGCGGCGCTTGGCGATGAACGGGGCCAGTTTGCTAGAGGGTTCCAGAGGCACACGTGTTAACAGCAGAGCCCACACCACCACCCCTTTCCCCCCATCTCTGCCACAGCACCGCGTGGTTGGTTTGATGTTTGGTTCCCTCCCCCTTCCCACACCTCAAGCTGCATTAGGAGAGAGCCACCTCGGCCCAGCTATTTCTAACACCGCTTCTTGCTGCTCCCAGGCTGAGACAGCCTCAGAAAGGCTGCTCTGCACAGAGGGTAAATGTCTGAGCCTACACTGCCCGTGCCCCAGGAGATCCCAACGCTCCTCACTTTTGAGCCGGCATCGTCATCAGATCCCTGTCCAGGAAGAGGCGCAGGAGGAAGTCGTGGACGTCATCCAGCCGCTCCGGGCCTCCCATGTTCAGCATCAGGATGCCAGTTTTAGGTTTCCTAGGGAAGCAAAGAGATATTTCACATCCTGCTGACCTACTGCTTTCATTTTTATCACTGTGACGAAACAACCATTTGTCCTTTGCAAAGGCAGCTCTTATGCAGAGGCTCCTCCTGCTTCCACAAACACATGAGCTACCAGCAGGAATGGCCAGACACAAATATTTACATGATCTTTGCTTTTGTAAAAAGTAACCACTCTGTAACACAGACTTTAGCTGGAAACACGCTGAGAAAGCTGCCTGGCACCTGCAGGCTCTAAGGGAGGTTATAAAACAGGGTCTAAGGAATGGTCTCAGCTGTGGATTCCGACCAAACCGAGCAGCAGCTTCCTCAAAAAACAGATGAGCCACCCACACAGGTCTTTGTCTTATTACTGGGGGGACACATCTCATCTCCTGCAGCAGTGACAGCAGCAAGGAGCCGTTCTACACCTGAGGTCATTGCAGGACTGGTTCTGTTCGGGTTGTTGGCTGGGTTTTTCCACAGTGCATTTTCTATCCGGGTGCAGGTCTGGCACTGTGTTGTAAGGATAACATCCCTCCCAGTGGAGTGGAGTAGAAAGGCTGCTGATCACACGTCTCACCCAATTTCCCCACATGGAATTGTTCCCAGGGACCAGGATCTCTCACTTCTCGAGCAGACAGAGCCAAGGCTGCACAGAGAGCTTTGCCCTCCTCTTGTTAAAGCCAAACTCTTACAGCAGGGCACCGGGAGGAGCCCAGGCCTGTCCCAATGGTCTGAGACCTCAGCTTCCATTCCCTTCCCCCTGGAGCATCTATCAGCAGGTTGCTGAATAAAACCCAGGCAGCAGGAACCAGAACCACAATAACCATAATTAACGCTCTTCCACTGCTCCTGCACCGCCTCGGGCGTGTCGTGGGCCAGGCACAGCCAGGAACAGCGCTGTCCCTGCCCCCAGGCCCGAGCAGGGGAGGCTGGGGGAGTGCAGCCAGCCAGATAAACAATCTCACACACACACAGAGCAGCCGCGGCTCTGCAGGAACAGCAGCTCGGTATCAGGGGGAGCCAGAGGGCTGGGGAGCCGGGCCCACCCGTCCGTGCACACCTACCGCTCCTGGGGCTGCACCCGGGGCTTGGCGCTCTCCGTCACCACCGCGGCCGCCGCCCGGCCCTGCCACCGCACCGGCACCCGCAGCTGGGGGCTGCTCCTCACCACTGCAGGGGAGAGAACGGCACGCTGAGAACCCGGCCAGCACAGCACCGACCCCCCCCAGCCACACCGACGCGCTCGGAGCATCTGCTGCCTTGAGCTCCAGGCCCTGGAATCAAAGAAGTCGAGGAATCACAACGTCTGAAAGTCTGGATTTCAGCATCAGCCAAACCCCAGCGTTTCACAAGTAAAGTCTTCCCACATCCACCTCCCCCTCCAGCTCTCCTGGAGCCCCTTTAGGCCCTGGAAGGGGCTCTCAGGTCTCCCTGGAGCTTTCCTTCTCCAGGTGAACCCCCCCAGCTCTCCCAGCCTGGCTCCAGAGCAGAGGGGCTCCAGCCCTGGCAGCACCTCTGAGGCCTCCTCTGGACCCACTCCAGCAGCTCCACATCCTTCCCATGTCAGAGGTCCCAGAGCTGAACAGAGCTGGCTTGTCTTTAAGGTTCCTTCCCACCCATTCCACACGATTCCGTGCCGGTCACAGCCTGCCTTCTCAAAAGCACACTTCATTCTCCTCAGGAGCTCAGAGTCATTACATGATATTTTTTCAGTGTAACAACAGCGTGAATTGCTCACGATGAAAAAAAGGGTTCAGCGCCGCACCCCCGGCTATTGTTCGGTGCGACAGTTCCCTGTCAGACCACGGGAGCTCGGCAGCAATCGAGCCCCGGCAGCACAGAGCTCCTCGGCAGCCGACCCACCCGCTGGGAAGAGCATCTTCCAGCTCACAGTTCCCTAATAACCTCCTGAACAGACCTCAAAACCTGCTGAAATCAATGACAACCCGGCTCCTCACTCGGGATTACGAGCGTGCAGCTGCGGGCGCCCGTGAATGCGCTGATATAATAAAAGGCTGCCAACTAAAGAACTTCAGTTCAAGCACTGCTGAGTCCGGAAAGACTCTTTTCAAACACAGATATTTACATTTCTCCCGATTCCTAGTTTATTGCTTTTCGAGGCGCTGACACTACGCGCAAATCACAGAGAACGACAAAAAGAGAAGGTTCAAAAAGCCGCGTGGATCCTTCTGCGCTTTGGAACGGGAGGGCGGCTCCTTGGCAGTTATACTGCAGAGAGGGAAAAATTAATACGAATACAGAAAAACAGGTCAGGGGACTCCGCAGGTGAGGGCACACCTGCGCCCCTCAGCCCTCAGGTGGGGAGACCCTGTAGGGGAGGAGACCCCGTAGGTGAGGGGACCCCGTAGGTGAGGGGACCCCTGTGCCCCTCAGCCCCCAGGTGGGGAGACCCCGTAGGTGAGGGGATACCTGTGCCCCTCAGCCGGGGAGACCCCGTAGGTGAGGGACCCCTGTGCCCTGCAGCCCTCAGGTGAGGAGACCCCATAGGGGAGGAGACCCCGCAGGTGAGGGGACACCTGTGCCCCTCAGCCCCCAGGTGGGGAGACCCCGTAGGTGAGGGGACACCTGTGCCCCTCAGCCCCCAGGTGGGGAGACCCTGTAGGTGAGGGGACACCTGTGCCCCTCAGCCCTCAGGTGAGGAGATCCCGTAGAGGAGGGGACCCCTGCGCCCCTCAGCCCCCAGGTGGGGAGACCCCGCAGGTGAGGGGACACCTGCACCCCTCAGCCCTCAGGTGGGGAGACCCCATAGGTGAGGAGACGCTTGAGCCTCGCAGCCCTCAGGTGAGGGGACTCCGAGGGTGAGGAGATCCCCATAGGTGAGGAGACGCTCGAGCCTCGCAGCCCTCAGGTGACAGGACCCCGAGGGTGAGGAGACCTCGTAGGTGAGGAGATTCCCGTCGGTGAGGGTACGCTCGAGCCTCGCAGCCCTCAGGTGAGGGGACCCCGCGGGTGAGGGGACGCTCGAGCCTCGCAGCTCTCGGGTGAGGGGACCCTGCGGGTGAGGGGACCCCGGGAGTGAGGGGACCCCGGGGGTGAGGGTACGCTCGAGCCTCGCAGCCCTCAGGTGAGGGGACCTCGTGGGAGAGGGGACGCTCGAGCCTCGCAGCTCTCGGGTGAGGGGACCCCGGGGATGAGGGGACGCTCGAGCCTCGCAGCCCTCAGGTGAGGGGACCCGCGGGCGAGGGGGCCCCCAAGCCTCACAGTCCTCAGGTAAAGAGACCCCCGAGCCTCGCAGCTCTCAGACAAAGAACCCTCGCAGCCTTCAGCCCGTTTAAACCCACCATGGCCCTGCCCAGCCCGCCCCGGTAAAAGAGCGGCCCCAGAGCCCTCGGGGCAGCAGCAGCCCCAGCCCCGCCAGCCCCCGCGCGGGTCAGCGTTATGAAAGGCGCTTCTCGGGCGTTGTGTAACGCGGTGCCGGCGGCGCCGCCGCCCTCCTGCCCTCGCACCCGGCGGTGACCGGGAGCCCTCACGCCCCCGCCGCCCTCAGAGCCCCGCTCCGCCATCGCGGCGGCGCCCCCGCACTCACGGTGACGTCCCGCGGCGGCAGCGGCGGCGGCAGCAGCAGCGGCCATCTTGGCCGTGCGCATTCCCTCAGACAGCGCCGCCGCCGCCGCCCCGCGCCTTACACCTCCTCGGGACGGCCAACACCGCCCCCGGCACCGCCCCGGTACAGCCAACACCGCCCTCGGGACCGCCCCGGGACGGCCAACACCGCCCCCGGGACCGCCCCGGTACAGCCAACACCGCCCCC